TCTAACTTCACTAGCTTCAAACTTAATCAATCTAAAACCTTCAAGATCAAAGTTCTTCTAAATCAACTACCAACATATTTCTCATATCATAATACCTATCCAACCATCTTTCCAAATGTCAACTGCTTTCGATGCAATTCTCCTGACTCTCACTTACATTAGTTAATATGCTTTAATTCATCTCTTATTACGAATATTATTAACTTATCTATTCAGTATACTCTATCTAAAGCAGACCTTAACTTACTTACTAGTCAACTATATGAACTTACCCGCAAAATTCAAAACCATCCCTCATTTGACCGAATACCATTTTAAGCAAACTCTTTTTATCTTGATCTTACTCTTAAAGGCCTTATATCTAAAGCTCTAACTGAAACAATTTATAATTATAACATACCTACCAAAATAGCCTCGCAAACTATTATCTAAATACTTCTTAACATTAATGACCAAATTTATAATCAAATATGGAAACCTTATTGTATTGACTTTTCTAACTGGAAAAAAAATAATAACATTACATCTCTTTTAAGCTCTAACAATAATTATAACTCTCAATAAATACAACAAACCAGACATTACAAAAGATCACATATAAACTACACATACTTATGTCTATATGAAATAGCAGATCAATTACATTTACATCCTAATACCTACCCACCAATTGGACAAGCTATTAGAAAAATTAATATATGGTCGATACTCTGAATTAATCATAACACATCTTATAATTACATTTTAACATTACAAATCTAGGTGAGCCTTGATCATCATAATCGGTTTAGGTTACAGATAAAACTGTCTGAGCTTTAATTCTTGCATGTAATTTTTATTTTGTAATTTACAATCTTAGTATATCTTAGTATATAGTATATTAATATGTACAACTAAAATTACTAATAAAGATATGAGCAAGACCTCACCTTAATACCAAAAAAAAAAAAAAACTAAAATTTTTGATATACAAATCTTTTTGCACTGGACCATAATTAATTTAATAAACTATAAATATAAATTAAATAAAGGATAAATTTAGCTTACCTCTTAAAAATCAAAATTATTTTCTTAAGAACCGAACAAGGTTTTAAGTATAACGGTACTATAATTTTAGGACCAAATCGTAAAAAAACATTTAAAATTCGGGAATTTGTTCCTTTTTTTTCTTTTTTTTTTAATTAAAAAAAAAGAAAGGTCGAAGTATAAATAACACTTGGCATCGCGAATGATATTATCACGCAAATTGCATCATATGCCTCATATCTTGCGCGTAGTAAAGAAAATCTTGGCTGCTAGTAATTTATAAATATAAAAAAAATATTAGAGCAATCACCAAAATCCATAATTCGCTGAACTCCAAATTTAGCCTTAGATGAGGCCATTTTGTATAAAGTTATAAGATTTGTGGAATATATGTTAGTTTGTCTCGTGTATTCTCCAGTACGACACGGTAATTAAAACTTATTCATTTCGGGAAAATCGTCAAACTGTATTACAATTAATAATTTTAAATTCGCATTTTGATTGGATCTAAACTAGGTTCGTTTCGCGTACTTCTAGTCATTTACTTTAAGCTGAAGAACTGAAAAATTTTGTACCTATATTTTCCCTTTTTTTTTTTTTTGCAAAAAAAAAAAAAAAATTAACTATACAAAAAAATGGCGTTTCGACAAATTTCAAATTAAAATCGAAATAATTCATTGTTCTACGCTACATTTCTTGATGGTTTTCGTGGTGTGGCAGCTTTATGTGTCGTTTGGGCTCATACCCAGACTATATTTGGCCAACGTTTGGATTTTAATTCATTCGACTATGTTGGATTTTATGGAGTAATCATGTTCTTCGTGCTTTCCTCTTTTTTACTTACTTTTCGAATGCTATTGGATTGGGAACAGTATCACGAAAAGAAAGAGAAACACAAAAATCATTTAGAAAGTGATGTGGAATTCGAAGCAAACTTTTCAAACGTTCCACTTTTATCATCGATGAATGATCATTTAGAAAAGAGTGTGGACCTCGACACAAACTTATCAAATGTTCCACCCTTATCATCGACAATTTATGATAACATTGTAATGTTTTACTATTTATATATTGAAATCATTTTTATTATCATTGCTAACCGTTTATTAATAAAATATTAGACTGAAATACCTTCATTAGAAGAAAAACCTGTTAAGTTTTTCTACCATTATATACATAAAAGTGTATGGCCAAAATGTCAAACACCAGTAAAATTTTGGTTAAAGTTCTTTCTTCGTCGATTTATGCGCGTATACCCACCATATGCGATGCTTTTACTGTTTATTGCATTTAATGGCTTCCTGATAAATGCATATAACAATTTTATGGATTCCTCGACTTTATTTCAGCATCTGTTTTTCCTAACGAATTCTAATTATATTTTTTGGACTCTTCCTCTAGAATTATCGGTATTTGTTTTTCTAATATTTTTGATAATTTTTCACCAGTCAAAATCATATAAATTTGATATTTCGAATGGCACAATTCATTGCCATTCAACATGCCATACATTCAACCTATACGTTTGTTAAGTGATAGTCGAATGGCAGCTGAATGGTGCCAGGATCTTTTGTAGTACAAGTGACACTACTAAAAAATGTATTGTTAATCAATTGATTAAGAATAGGTGTCACTCATACTGCAAGAGATCCTGGTGGTGCCATTCAGCATATCAAATTTTTTTGATTTTAATTAGTGATTTCTTTCATAATGTATTAAAATTTATAAATCAAATTTGCCCCATATAGTATTATTTCTGTATACCAATAATTGTCATTGGATATGTAGAGTTTGCCCGGTTTGGTGCTTTCCTTACAAACCATTACTTTAAAAAACCTGCAATTGGTGCTTGGATATGTCGAATACTTGCTAATGTTATTATAGTAACTGTACGAACAGAATTATTAATATCAAGTGATGAAAGAGACTTGGATTTTATGGATACAGATGGCTCTCATCATATCTTTGTAGCTGGATCAATATGTGCAATTTGGTACAGAGAAATAATTCGTCTTGGATTGTTGCCATTGAGCTTAGAAGAAGAAGAGAATATTCTGGCCGATAAATCAAACAATTGTAATACACCTGTACTTATAAGATCGAGTTTTGTCCAATTAATTATTGGTAAATTACCAAGTCGACATCAGTTTGCAAGATGTTTTTTTGACTTTGGATGTTATATCTTAGTTTTATTGAAGATTTGTACATTGCCTCATCATGCTGAAGTAGTTTTTGGCGAACCTCGCGCTTATGACATTATTATAGAAAGAAAACAACTTGGTGGTTCGCTTGATGCAATAATAATTCTTTGTGCCCTCCTCTCTCGCAGTGGCTCTTTTGTAAAGGCACTTTCTTGTGATTTTTTACGTTTTTGTGGAAAAATTTCATTTAGCATGTATTTATTACATCCGATTGCAATGACATGGGTGAACGATTATATGCCTTTTATTGGAATTAAAGCGGCAGAAAAAGAATCAAGTGAAACTGAGAAGGGTAATTTTATATTGGATGCGGTGATGATGTCATTTGTGGGAACAATTGCTTTAGCATGGATCTATTTTAAATGTGTTGAAAGACCTTCTATAAATCTAGCTAACTATATTGCGAAGAGATGGTTAAGTTAGATGAAGTTTGATATTAATAAACGTTAATCATTTTATTTTCATTAACTTTACTATTTAACTTTTAGTACTCATAGTATTAGTATTACTTGAAATTTTTTAATATATATAACTAGTGTTACATATTATATAAATTCTTGTTATCTGGCAAGTACGACGTATATACAGATGGAATGTTTTCTTATTATGCCGCAAAATTTTATAACAGTGCCTGCCGGATAAATAGATGTACGATATTTATTTTTTGTTAGGTTACTTCAAGATTATTGGTTATTACCATTTTTTTAGATTGTTTTTTAAATTTTTTTTTCTATAATTAGTCGTAATAGGTTTAGTGAAGTTGGAAGGTTGCAACCTTTTATTTTGAAGTTAATGTAATGGTTGTAATTAAAGTAGAATATCAATTAACATTTACTATGACGTATTGACGCTACCTATTTAATGTCGGGGATGATGCTGAAAATTGGAGCCTTAATTTGAAAATATAAACCCTACTAAAATTCACCTATACTTTTTTTATTATAAGCACTGACCCTAAATTCTAGCATAACTATGAAAAAAAAACCGAACAAAACATCCCAAAAAAAATTTAAAATTTTCATAATAAAATAAGTTAAAATTTCAGCATCATCCCCTTGTGACTAGTGATGCCGTAGAATCTCAGTTATAACTTGACGTAACATTTTATTTTAAGTCACGGCATATCGCAACATGCATATGTACCGTATTATTATGACCATACCTTTAACTGTTTTACACAGCGCAACACAATTTTATATGCGTAACTCATAATATGCTATATTTGTGATATGCTATGTATAATTTATACATATTACATTTTTATTTGTACCGTACCATACATACAGTAAAAACATATGTAAAATCTATATTAAATAATTATTATTCTTCCTCATTAAACATTCATGCTACTAATCTTGTCGGATTATAATTATGATTTCCCAAAGCCAACCATCGAGTCATATTATTTGAGACCTTTGTTTTTTTTTTTATGTTAAAGTCCTTATCTTTGGGTTGTGATTGATTTATTCAAGTTTATAAGACATAGGTGCCACCAGGGGCTCCTTTACATAGGAGGTTACAACTAGTCACATGTATACTTTTGGTGTCTAATTTAAGTAGTCTGTTTATACATTATTATATTAGTTTTATACTAGATGTTATACCTGCAAGTCAGCTAAAGGTCTTGCTTAGTTAAACCTTTTGCATATGCACTCTATCTTGTATCATGGAAACATCTCAAGATTACATTCATCCAAGTTTCCAATGCTTATCAGTACCTTAGGCTTACTTTATCCTTGACAGAAAACTTATTAGAGTTTTTATGTCTTATACATATTAATTTAGTTTTATGCAACATGTTATAGTTACCTAACATTTGTAGTTACAGAGGTTACTTGTTTAACTGTTATGTTATACTATTTCTATCTTTATAAAATTTATTCAAACTTCAGTATCTATCTTTCTAATTTTTTTTTTTGTCTTTCTATTATCTAATTCAGAATTTGATAAATTTATTAAATTTTCAATACAGATAGTCCAGTATGGTATATCTTTGATATCTTTTTTTTCTGACAGTTCTAACAACCTGGTTGTTATGTGTTTCTTTATACATCTTATCATTATTTATATATTTGGTTATTTCTTATTGGTATTTCATAGATTTCTATCAGTCTGACAATATTGTTAAAAATTTATACTATCTCTTTATTTAGGAATTTCTAAATAGAATTTCATCTCCTCAGTTTTTTGGTCTTCTATATCTGGTAGTCTTATTGTGAATTTGCATTGAAGTTTTATTTAATACTGATTATTATTATTTTTTTTTTGGTATTAAAATGAGGTCTTGCTTATATCTTTATTAGTAATTTTAGTTGTATATATTAATATACTATATATTAAAGATATACTAAGATTGTAAGATACAAAATAAAAACTATATATAAGAATTAAAGCTCAGACAATTTTATCTATGACCTAAACTGACTATGGTGATCAAGGCTCATCTAGATTGTAATATTAGAATATAATTATAAGATGTATTATGATTAATCCAAAATGTTGACCATATATTGATTTTCCTAATAGCCTATTCAATTAGTGAATAGATATTAGAGAATAAGTGTAATTAATCTGTTATTCCATATAAATATAAGTATATATAGTTTATATATGATCTTTTGTGATGTCTAATTTGTTGTGTTCATTGTAAGATATTGTAATTATTAAAGATTTAAGAAGATATAATGTTATTGTTTTTTTTTCAGTTGGAGAAGTCAATACAATAAGGTTTCCATATTTGTTTATAGATTTGATTATTAATATTAAAAAGTGTTTGAATGATAATTTGTAAGGCTATTTTAGTCAGTATATTGTAATTATGAATTGTTTTAATTAGGGCTTTGAGTATAAGGCTTTTAAAAGTAAGGACCAGATAGAAAGAATTTGCTTGAAATGATATTCAGTCAAATGAGGAATAGTTTTAAATTTTATGAATAAGTTCATATAGTTGACTAGTAAATAAATTAAGATCTGTTTTAGATAAAATATGCTAAACTAATGAGTTAATAATATTTGTAATAAGAGAAGAGTTAGAACATGTTAGCCAATATAAATAGGAGTCAAGAAAATTATATTAAAAGCAGTTAAAATTTATGAAATTAGCTAGATAGATATTATAGAGAGAGAAATATGTTGGTAGTTCATTGAGTTTTAACTTTAAAGGTTTTTGATTAATTAAGCTTGAAGCTAATAAAATTTGATGAAGGTTTTTGATTATGATTAAGATATAATCATGTAGATTTCTAGTCTATATAATGATTAATATAAGTCTATTTATTGTTTCTTTTTTGCGATAACCACATTGCTAATATATAAGTTTTGCAGATATTTTTAATAAAATATCTGATAGAAAGCTCAATAAAATTTTGTTTCCATTGTAAAATATAAAAAGGATTATAAATATTTGTATATTGAAAGATTAGCAGCAAAGAAAAATTATGTTATTTTGCTTAAGAATTAGTCATATTATTAAAAGTATTGTCTATATGAGCCTGAACTTTGTAGAAGTTGATGTTTAAGTTAAAGAATTTAATGATATTAAGAAAAGTATATCATAGAGGTCATGTATTAAATTTAAAAAGTTTATTAAGATTGTTAAATTGAATAAAGAGTTTGTAAAACTTTGAGATGACTAATTGTAAGTTAGTATAAATTTGAAGTATTGCATTGTAAGGTACAGTTGAAATTGCTGATAAAATAGAAAAGAGCTTGTCTTATAAACTGATAGCCAGTAGTAGATTTTAGTTAAAAATTTATAAAATACTTAGTTTTTATTATTAATTTAAACCTATCTAATGTTCTATTGAGCTTTGTTTGATTCCAATATCTGTTACTGATCCATCTGTATAAAAAATAAATTCTTTATAAGATAAATTGGTTTGAAAATTTTTTTCAAGTTTGTTTGAACAGTTGTTGAGTTTAAAGATTTTTGTGATAGTTGAATTTGATATATTGATAGTAGAATAATTATGAGGAATTTATAAAGAATGTTTAATTGCTGTTGAATAAATAAGATCTAGATAATTAGTATTGAATTTGAGTTTAGAGGTTTTTCTTTCTAAAAAGCTAGTACAAATAGTTGCTAAAATATTAATTGTACATATTTGGTTAATTTTGTTTAAGTTAAGATGGCATCCAGTGCATAATATACAGTTTAATTCTGAAAGAAGATAGTAATAATTGTGTTCTAAATTAATATTAGTATTCCAATGTAATATGGAAAACTGATTTATGTTTAGAAGAAATTTGTGAATTTTGCCAATAATGATCTTATTATTATTATTATTATAGGTAAGTAACCAAGATTTAAGTTTTTTCTTAATTGGTAAAGTGTTATATGCAAAAGCATTAACTCTAAAAGGTTGAAAGTGAGAAAGGATTAAGCGATGTGTTTTATCAGATAGGATTGTGTCTTCCAAATAGGTGAACCAAGAAGGTTGCTTCTTTTTATTAGATGATGAAGTCTTGGTAAAAGTTAATGCCATAGGAGTAGTATGCTGTTGTTTGCAGAATATAATTGTTCTAGATAGAGTATATTGTTTATGTAAAGTTATTTTTTAAAAGTATGGTATTTGGAATATTAACTAAGTATTGGTTCTAATAATTGGTAGCCATCATAAACAGTGTTAGGGCACAAAACATTGGAGTTTACTAAAATTGAAATGCTAAAATGTTGTAGAAATTGTATAATTTTAAAATTAAGTATAAGTTTGTTGAGTTCATCAATAAGCAGTTGGCTATGCTGAAGAATATTGGTAGTAGACCAGAGGTTGTTTTAAAGTTGTTGTAATCTAATTTTAGTAAAAATATCAAGAATTTCTGAGTTGTTAATTCTTTGTTGAAAACAATATATATAATATTGTAGTTGGATGTTCCAAATATTATATATATTGTATATATGAGGGTTTAGCATAATGCTATTAGGGTAGTACAAGAGAGTTTAGCTTTATGTTTAATCATAGTAAGATATTTGAATAAGAGTTTGTTATAGATAGAATGTTTAAGAATAATATTATGTAGTCTATATTCAATAGTAAGAATAATTACAGTATTAGTAATATATATAACTTGTTTGTCTGTGATTTTTTTGATGTCTGTAATGTTAATAAGTTAGATTGCTTCATTATAAATTAGTTGGCTTTGTTTAGTATATGAATTATTAAGAGTGAACTAAGATTCTAAAAATTTGAATGGTTAGTTGGGAGAAATTGATATAAGTAATAAATTAAAAAAGTAAATAGGAATTGTAGATAATATGTTTGAGAAGAAAATTGATTTAGTTGAGTTAATTTGAATATTGGCTATATGGTAGAAAGAGGTAGCTGTAGCAATAATTGATTGTAATTCTTCTTTGAATTTGGCTATTCAAAATGTATTATCCATATATGCTAGTACAGATACAGAGGTTTGAAGTTGTTAAAACT